GAGACAGAAAGTAGGAAATCACCCCCAGGGGGGTGGCTACGCCGCAATCCCTTCTCTTCCATTCTCCTCTCGGAATCTTGGGCACACACGCACACACGCCCGGCATGAGTTTAAGCCATCAGGTCCAGGACTCAAACCGCAGTCGACTACGTGGGAGTCCAGCGACATAGCCATTACACTAACTGCTGGTCCCATCTCAGCTTTTGTTTTAATTAACTGAAAACATTTTAATTTCTCTTTCATTTTTGAAGGATAGTTTTGTTGGACATAGAATTCTTGGTTGATTGTTTCTGTACTTTCTATATTTTAAACGTATTATTCAAATGCCTACTGGTCTCCAAGTTTTCTGTTCATAAACTGGCTAATAATTTTACTGAGGATCTCTGTACATGATGAGTCACTTTTCATGCTGCTTTGAAGACTTTTTGGGGCTAGCCCTACAGCCCAGAAATTAAATGTTGTTTATAGGGAGCTGGATTCCATGTGGTCAAACATGGTTCAGATCTCTGCTCTGGTGGGTAGACATACCAGACATGGGTGTATGTGTGCCCCAAATCCTGGTAGTATGAAGAAGTGGGAGCAAAAGAGAACTTGGTATAACCACACCCCAGTGGAGTTTCTCTCTATTCTCTTTTTCTGTTGAGTGGACATGCCCTCTGGCAACTTAAAAAATTAAAAAGAGCAAGACTCTCTTTTTCTTTAGCTTTTTTGAGTTTATCTTCCTCGGAGTTCAGTAGGCTTACTGAGTTTTTAGATTCTTGTCTTTCATTACATTTGAGAAGTTGTAGGTCATTAGTTGTCCAAATAATCTCTCTGACCCTCTCTTTCTTTTCTTCTTGGACTCTTATATTGTATATATTGGTCTGTGTGTTGGTGTCCCATAAGTCTCTTAGGCTCTGCTCACTGTCTTCACTCTGTTTTTCTTTCTGCTCCTTAGATTTAATCATTTTAATCGTCCTGTCTTCAGATTCACTGGCTCTTTCCTCTGCTGCTGAATCTGCTACTGAGCCTCTATTCTAAACTTATCACTTTTGTTGTTATATTTTCAGCTCCAGAATCGTCGTTTGGTTTCTGTTTATAATTTCTATCACTTGTTGCTGCTCTCACTTTGTTTATATGTTGTTTTTCTGAATTCTTATAGTTGTTTGTGTTTTCCTTTAGTTTCTGAGTGAATTTAAGACAGTTATTCCCAATTCTCTGTCTGCTAAGTTCAATGTCTGGGCTTCCTTGAGGACAGTTCCTGTCAATTCATTCTTTGAATGGAATGTTTTCCCTTCTTTGTATGCTTTGTGATTTTGTTGTTGTTGTTGAAAACTGGACTGTCTCTCCCACTCCTCTCTGGCTGGCTGTGTACTAGGGCTGTCCATCACTGGTGATCTGGGCTTGGTCTGACCTCAGCGTCAGCCTGACATGAAACATTAGGTCTTCTGAGCACGTGTCTTGTGTGGACCTGCACGTGGCCTTCTCAATTCCCCGCTTATGCAGCTGCTTTATTATTACTCATGATAGAGCACGTGTACATACATGACACAGAACAAGAAGCACCCTCCCCAGGGCTTGGTCACGTCTCGAACCCCTTTCTAGTCCTCCAGCCTGCCAGGATCCTGGGCATGTGTGCACACTCCTGCTGTGTTCTCAGCCCAGCACCTGAGGCTTCCCGCTTGGTCTTCTGGTAAGCTACCCCCCACACCACAGAGGCCAGGTCTACAGCTGCTACTGAATAGTTGAATCTGTCGAAGAGTTTCACCCCAGCTACTCCTCAGGGACTTAGGCTGTCTATTATATGCAGTTGTCTGCAAGTCTGTAGTTTCTGCTGCTTTCATGAGCAAGTGCCTACCCTTTTCTCACCTGAGGTATGGTTTAGGCAAAATAGAGTGTAGTCTTGCAGGCAGCCCCTGGGGCAGCTTAGCATGTGACAGTGAAGTCTGTGCTGTCCCCTCAGGGTTGAGGGCAAGAACTGGGAATTGAGCTGTTGCCTCTTCCAGACCAAGATGCTGCTGCACTGGGGAGGAGCAGGATCAAGAGAGAAAGAAAATAACGCCTCTGAAGGAGGCTTTTCTTAGCTGGGCGTTCACCTGGGGATGCTCAATCTCTGGGTGTTTTCCAGGACTCCTGTAAGCTTAGCTCAGCCAGCCCTCCACCCGCTCCGTTCCCATAGGGGACGAGAGCTTGGTGCGACCTTCCCTTCTTCCTTCTCTCTATTGCCAGAGGAGTGGGTAGGGTCGCAGGGGGCACCGAGGGATCTGGAGTGGGGACGTCCAGGAGTGGAGCACCTGGGCACAGCAGCTGGGGTGGGCGGGGGCGGGCGCCGCCTCCCATTTGGACCATGGCTCCGGGTTCGTGGGTTCAAGTGTGAAGCTAAGTCCTTAGTCCTGGGGTAAAGAGCAGGTTCAACGATACCACAAAGCACTGCCTGTCATCAGTTCTCAAGGGCGGGAAGACAAGGCAGAGGAGGTTAGATAGAGGAGCAAAAGGGAGCCAAGGCGAGGGGCCGGCCTCAGCTGTGGTTTCCGGGTGGTGTTTGTGGAGAGCGAGGAGCTGCTAAGTGAGAACAGGGCTGTTGGAAGCGGAGGTGGCACGTGTTAAGCATCACTATATGCCAGGTATGGCGGCCAGGATCCGGGCACGGGGTCCGTGCTGACCCCACAAGCTTAAAGGCTGAGGAAATAGCTCCCAGACAGTCCACGACAAACATGACTAATGGAAAGGACCAGGTGCCCCAAGGGCTCGTGCGGCCTGGAAGCCAGGCCCGGCTCTCTGAGGACATGGCATTCCAGCTACCCGGGGCAGGAGGTGGGGCGGTGCAGGTGAGGGCCCTGGGGCAGCAGAGCATGGGAGGGACAGCTGGAGTGACGGTGCGAGAGGAGAGGGTGACCACACCGGGCTGGAGAAAAGGAGGGGCCAGGTCTTGCAGGACATTACGGGCTCCACGAAGGGTTCTGGGCCTTGTCCCAAAGGCGATGGAAAAAGAGGGAGTAAGTGGAAGGACACCAGGGCAGCAATCAGAAGCAGTAGAGCAGAGTGGGAGGGGCTTGAACTCTGGAGCCAAACTACCTGGGTTCAAATCCCAGGTCTGCCACTTCCTAGCTGTGTGACCAAGTCCAGGTTAGTTAACCTGTCTGGCCTCCTCCATGGCTGTCACATGGGGCGATGACAGTACCCACGTCAGAAGGATGGCCGAGGAGTGGATGACGAGAGTGGCTGGCCCTGAGAGTAGGGGGAATTGCTGTGGAAAGGCTGAGCAGGGGCAACCCTGGGCTGTGTTGCTCGGTGCCTCCAGGCGGCCGTCCTGTCTGTGCTGAGAGCTGTCGGCACCGAGCAGGGCTGGCTTCTCCGGCAGCCGCCAGGTTGAACACGCTGGGCAGCATCGTTCCCTGGGAGCTGCCTGGGGACGGGGACCACAGTGTGCCCACCCCTGGAGGGAATGCCTGACTGGCAGCCGAAGGGCTGGGAAGCTCCGAGACCACCGCAGCTGTCGGGCTGCCCTGCGCGCCCCACCTTGCCCACCACCGCACAGTGCCGCCCTGTCCTCAGGACCACCTCAGCCAGGCCGCTCCCAGCGTGTCCTGGAGGGGAGCCTGGGCACACTTCAGGGGCTGGTGGAGAGTCCATAGCCGGAGGAGGGCACCCGCCTGGTGGCAGATCTGAGCCAGAGCAGGCAGTGCCAAGGTGTCCTAGGGGACCTTGCTATGCTGCTGGTCCAACCTCCCTGGGGGCCAGTTCCCGGCCCTGCAGCCCCCGCAGGTGCCAGGACGAGGGCGGGGCCCAGAGAACGCGCAGCGCCGCACCTGACGCGCCGTACCTGACACGCTCCTCGCCTGCGCGCCTCACCTGACGCGCCACACCTGACACTCCTCGCCTGACGCACCACACCTGTCGTGCCACACCTGACACGCCATGCCCAATGCTCCTCGCCTGACGTGCCTCAAGCCTGGGCTCTTGCCTTCCTTAAAAGGTGCAGGGGGGAACCAGCAGTTAGCGTAATGGCTATGTTGCTGGACTCCCACGTAGTCAACCGCGGTTAGCGTCCCGGGCTTAAGCCTCACGCCGGGCACGTGTGTGTGCGTGCCTGCCCAAGACCCCGAGAGGAAAATGGAGAAGGGATTGCGGCGTGACCATCCCCCCCGCCCCCCGGGGGGTGATTTCTCGCTTTCTGTCTCTATCTCTCTCTGTCTGGCGAGAGCACACGCCCTATAGCGAAGATCTCTCCCCAAAAAGAAAAAAAGGTACAGGGGTGCCGAGTCACTTAGCTTGTCTTTGAAAGGGGCAGTGGGGGTCCTAGGGAGGCACCGTGGCCCGTAGGGACCAAGCCAGGGTCCTGTGTTGCCAGGAAGAACCCTAGACCCGCTCTGGCTCTGCAGGACCGAGCACCGGCCGAGGCCCTGGGCACCACCCCTGCTCCTCCCTGCCACTGAGTTCTCAGCAGAGTCCCGCACAGGCTTAGGACTGTCCCCGCCATGCCCCACGGGCTGTCCCGGGCAGGTTCCCCGAACCCCCGGCACTGAGACCAGCATGCGGGCCTCCTCTCCTCCAGAGCCCAATATTTTGGGAGAGTGTTGAGCTCAGCAGGCAGCAAGGTGCACCGGTTGGGCCTCTGTCCTTGCCTGGCCCTTCACAGCCGCCTCTGCTCAGCTGTCCCTCCTGTCCCAGGTCTGGCTGTCCAGACCACCATGGAGGAACTGCAGGCCAGAGAGTCACCGGGTCTGGAGGTGCAGCTGACCAAGCCCCAGCACTGCACACAGCCCCAGGCCTGGCCTGGCAGCCAGGGGCAGGCAGGCCCTGGGCCAGCTGACTGCGGGGGCAGGGCAGGAGGCTTATGTAAGCAGGTCGTCCCTGCAGGAGTGACAGCACTGCCGGGCCACCGGGGCGGGGCCTCAGCCGGGCTGCCCAGGTGCGTGGCAGTGGCTCAGCAGCTGGAGGCTCGCAGCTGCCACCCCTCTCCCTTTGCTTACTGAGCTTCTTGGCCAGGTGGGTCTGGGTGGGCTGGCCAGGGGCCTGGAGCCCCCTGCGGAAGGTCCCCATGCTCAAGGCTCCTCTGTTCCAGGAGCCTGTGGGCTGGACAATGAGGCTGGCCGCCGCCATCCTGTGGCTGGGTCTCCTGATGGTGGTCACTGGAGACGTGGAAGAAAATGACCTGTGCGAATACGAGGCCCTGATGGACGAGGATGTCGTCCTGTGCAGGTAAGGCAGGATGTGGGGAGACGGGAGCCTCAGGGAGGGTGTTTTAGGAAGAAGGGGCACCAGCTCCCAGGCCCGCTTTTGTGGGGCAGGTGGAAAACACGTTCTGTCTGGAGACCACCTGGTCAGAGGACGGCAGGGGCACTGGCACGAGAGAGGGCCTTTGGAACAGGCTCCTTCCTGCCTCCCAGAGGGCGCGTCTTCTGGGACTGGGAGGGCTGTGGGCCTCAAACATGGGGCCTGGCCTCAGTCCCCAGGTCGGCACCCAGGGACTGCCCCTGGCACTCCTGGCAAAGTGAGTAAGAAGTGGCAGTTGGAACAAGGTGTGTGGGAGCACAGATATTTTCCTCCCTTACTGGGCCGCAGGGGTATTTGGACAGAGTGCCCGTCAGGAAACGCGTGCGTGCCGGCTGCTTCACCCACCAGCCATCTCCTCCTCTCCCCCACCTCGGGCCTGCCGATGCCTCAGACACTGATGCTGAGACTAGGCCAGTTCATGACCCTGCACCACCTTCATCTCCTTTCAAGTGGAAGGAGAGGTTGCACGTCTCTCTCACTTTACATCCAAAGCTAGGAGTGGGAACCAGCAGATGGCGAGATGGTGACATCCCTAGACTCCTACCTAGTCAACCACAGTTTGAGTCCTGGACCTGGGGGCTTAAATCTCACGCTAGGCACGTGTGCATGGGTTCCCAAAGTCCCAAGAGGAGAATGGAGGAGAAGGGACTGCAGCATGGCCACCCCCCAGGAGGTGATTTCTTACTTTCTGTCTCTCTGTCTCTCTCTCTCCCTCTGGTGAGCACACATGCCTTATGACAAAAATCCTCTTAAAAGAAAAAAACAAACCAAAAAACAAAAACAAACAAAAACCCCCCCAAACTAGGAGTGGTTAAGCTTCATGAAAAGGTTCATTAAAAGCCTAGATAGACTGAAAGTTAACTCTGAGTGCAAAGGAAAAGTTTTTGAAGAAAACGAAAATGGCTTCTCCAGTGAACGCAGTCAATAGGAAAACAGCAGTCTACTGCTGATATGGAGAAGAGGGGCTGGATCAAAGAGCAAGCCAACCACAACTTTCTTTGAAAGCCTAATCCAGGGCAAGGCTGCAATTCTCTCCAGTTCTGTGAGGGCCGAGAGGGGTGAGGAAGTTGCAGAAGACAAGTCTAGATAGAGCCAGCAGAGGGCAGTTCCTGAGGTTTGGGAGAAGAAGCCATCCCATAACATCAACGTGTTGGTGTGGAAGCCACAGCAAGTCCTCTGGAAGGTCCGACTGAGACACTGACGGAGGCGGCTGCACTAACACAGATCCTCAGTGCAGGTGGTACAACGTCTGCTGGACGAGAGACCATCTAGGACTTCCATCGCTAGAAGTCGATGCTGGGCTTCACAGGGCAGGCGGACGCTCTTGATAGCGGCTAACGCAGCTGGTGCCTTGATGTTGAAGCCAGCGCTCGCTTTCCATCCTGCAACACTCGGGACCAGCAGTTGGCGTAATGGCTGTGTTGCTGGACTCCCATGCAGTCGACTGCGGTTTGAGTCCCAGACCCAACTCACGCCAGGTGCATGTGCGTGCATGCCCAAGATCCCAAGAGGAGAAGGGAGGAGAGGAGATTGCGGCGTGGCCATCTCCCCCAGGCAGTGATTTCTCGCTTTCTGTCTCTCTGTCTTTCTCTGTCTTTCTGAAGAGCTCACACGCCCTATAGCAAAAACCTCTCAAAAGAAAAAAGAATTAGGCTAAATCTGTGGCTGGCAGGTGGCATGGTGAAGGTGCTGGACTTCCACATGGCTGATGATGGTTCAAGTCCTGGACCTGGTGGCTTGCTTTCTTACTTTCCTTCTTTCTTTCCCTCTGGTCAAATTAAATAAATAAGGTAAAATAAAGTAATTCTTAAAAAAAAAAAAAAAGGAATTAGACAGGCCTGTGCTCTATAAGTGGAATCAGAAAGCCTGAATGACAGTGTATCTGTTTACAGCAGGGCTTAATAGATATTTTAAGCCCAGGGTTGCTACCTTCAGCTCAGGAACAGATACTCCTTTTAAAATAGTACTGGTCATTGACAGTGCAACTGGCCACTCCATAGCTCTGATGGAGGTGTGAAAGGTTCATGTTTTTGTTTGTTTGTTTTTAATAATGAGGGCATATTTTCTTTTTTAAAAATAATTATTTAACTTTATTATTATTATCATTGTTATTTTCCAGTTTGATCAGAGAGAGACAAAAAGAGAGAGAAAGTGAGAAAGCAAGCCACCAGGTCTGAGACTTGAACCATGGTCGGCCATGTGGGAGTCCAGCGCCCTTAACCACCATGCCACTTGCCAGCCCCAGGAGGTTCCTGTTTTCAAACCTGCTAAACTACATCTATTCTGCAGCCTGTGGATCAAGGAATAATTTAGCCTTTCAAAGGATTATTAATTAAGAAATGCATTTTGTAAGACTATAACTACCATAGCTACTGTGATTCCGCCAATGGATCTGGGCATAGTATGTTGAAAATCTTCTGCAAAGAATTCACTGTAGTCAATGGGTAGCATAGTGGTTAAGGCGCTGGACTCCCACATGGCTGACCATGGTTCAAGTCCCAGACCTGGCAGCTTGAAACTCATGCCAGGCACGTGTGCATGCATGCCCAAAATCCCAGGAGGAAAATGGAGAAGGGATTGTGGTGTGGCCATCCCCCAGGGCGAGGGGGAGTGATTTCTTACTTTCTCTCTCTGTCTCTGTCTCTCTGTGAGCACAGGCACCCTGTAACAAAAATTTCTCTCTTAAAAAATAAAAAAGAATTCATTCTAGATGCAATTGAGAACATTCAGGGCCAGCCAAGGTGGTGCAGTCTGCAGTATCCTGGACTGCAGTGCAGGAAGCCACATGGCCAGCATGGGTTTGGATCCTCGGGTTGGTCTGAAAACATGCTGGTGCTCCTGAGCTAGAGGGCTGGGGAAAGGGGATCACAGCGTGAAAAGACCCTGTTGAGTGTGCCCCCCCCCACATGTGTGCACGTTCTGTATCCTAAAAAAAAAGAAAAAGAACCTTCGTTATTTGTGAGAGAAGGTACACATATCCACATGAATAGGTGTTTGGAAGACGTTCACTCCAACCCTCGTGGACGACTTTGAAGGGTTCAAGACTTTAGCAGAGGAAGTAACGGCAGCTGTGGTGGAAATAGCAACAGGACTAGACCTAGCAGTGCAGCCCACAGATGTGCCTGAACTGCAGCAACCTCATGATAAACCCGAGTGGGTGAGGAGTTGACGCTTATGGATGAGTAAAGCAAGTGGTTTCTAGATGGCGGCTCCTCTCGTGAAGATGCCGTGAGCGTTGTCGAAATGACCACAGGGTAGACTAGCACACCCTGAGCTGAGAGAGCACGCAGGTGTGAGAGGACTGCTCCAATCCTGCTCGTGGGTAAAATGCCATCAGACAGCACCACGAGTTACAGACAAATCTTTCATGGAAGGGAGAGTCAACTGATGCAGCAGACTTCATGGCTCTTAGTTTTAGGAATTGCTGCAGCGTCCCAGTCTTCAGCCACTGTCATCCTGATCAGCAACCAAGACCCTCCGCCCCCCAAAAGATGAGGGTTCCCTGAAGGCTCAGATGGTTATTTGTGGTGGTTTTTTGTTTTCTTTTTTAGCAATTTAAAAAGTCTTTTTAATTAAGATATATGCACTGCATGGGCTGGCAGGTGGTGTGGTGGTTAAGATGCTGGACTCCCACATGGACAACCACGATTCAAGTCCTAGACCTTGGGGGCTTGCTTTTTCTTTCTCTCTACGGTCAAATTTAAAAATAATAATAATAAATAAATAAAATTAACTAGAAAAAAAGATATATATGGGACCAGCAGTTGGCATAATGGTTATGTCGCCGGACTCTTGTGTAGTCAACTATGGTTCGAGTCCCAGACCCCGTGGCTTAAATTCACACCGGGCACACGCGCACGCGTGTGTATGTGTGTGCCCAGGATCCCTAGAGGAGAACGGAGGAGAAGGGATTGCAGTGTGGCCCCCTCCCCTCGGGGGTGATTTCTTGCTTTCTGTCTCTTTCTGTCTTTCTGGCGAGCGCACACACCCTGTAGCAAAAACCTCTCCAAAAAAAAAAAAAATAAGATATGCTCTGTATCTTTAGACATAATGCTATAATGCTGCTGCCCACGATGGCTACGGTGTTGTGTAAGTGCAACTTTTAAAATGCTCTGCAAAACCAGAATTTCGTGCAGCTCACTTTAGTGCGTTGTGTGCTCTGTCGCTGTCTGGAACCCACACATCTCTGAATGCCTGTATTCAGCGAGCGATGGGTTCCAGGCATGGCGAGCTCCTGACTGGGGGAGCGGAAGGTCTCTGCCCATGAAGGAGGCCGTGATGCCTTGCTGCACCTTTCTTTCTGTAATAAGAACTTTCCCTAAAAGTGATGAACACGTGCTGTTCTTATAAACCCAGTCCTGCTCGCAGACGCCGGCCACGTTTGCTGGGGATGCACGTTCTCCTCGGGAAGTCACACTGTGACGGTTTCGGCCACCCCCGACATGCCAGGCCTGCTCTGAGCGCGGGCACTCCTCGCTCCAGCCAGCTCTAGGAAGTAGGTACTATTAGTGACCGCATTTTATGGTATTTCGTTTTATTATTTTGACTCGAGGGCATGTGCACTTGCCTGAGAGAGAGGGAGGCAGGGGCCGAGGAGAGAGCACCTCTCGCGGCAAACGTTGCACCGCAATCCCTTCTCCTCTCTCTCTCTCCCCGGGATTTTGAGTGCCCTCATTTTTATAGGTGAGGAAACTGATGTCCAGGGAGGTCAAATAATGCTCGTGTCATAAACTGGTTAGCAGTAGGTTTAGAATTTAATCCTGTTTGGCTTTACAATGTCCTACAGTGCCCAACTAAGGCCTTAGGACCCCAGGGTCCCCTAAGACCCTGACAGGGCAACCACCACCCTCTCTTCTCAGGGGCCTCGAAGTTCTGTACCCAGAGCTGGGGAACGTTGGCTGCATGTTCATCCCTGACTGCAACAACTTCAGACAGAAGATCACCTCCTGGACGGAGCCCATTGTCAAGTTCCCGGGGGCCCTGGAGGTGAGTGAGCAGGCCTGGCCTGGAGGGGAGGGGCTGCGCATCCTCACTACCCCCAGCTTGCTCACCTGGGTAGTGCAGAGCCGTGCGCACAGCCATCTGGGAGGGTCTGGCGGTACCAGCAGCTGAAGCCGTGAGGTGTGTCTTCCCTGGAGCGGCGATGGTCTTCGGGAGGAGGCTGGGGGCAGGCGGCTGCAGACTGGGAGCCCTGGTGAGGGAATGGGGCTGACCCAGGTCACTTCCCGCTCCCTGCCCTGGGCTCCGCGGCTGAGTCTGCAGCCCCGAGCCTGGCTCTGAGGTCAGCGTGGACGCCAGCTGGTGTGTGCTTTGGAATCAGCACAGAAAAGGGGGGACAGAGGGAGAGTCTTCCTTCAGTATATGGCGGCTGGGCCTTCAGAAATGACCCTTGAGTGGGAGGGACCTTGCTTGTGAGAGGACCTCACTTCCCCCTAGGCTCAGCAAGCCGAGGTCAGAGCATCTTGCTTCTGGGTTGTCGTAGTGAGCCATGCTCCATTTCAGGCCACAGTTGTCTAAACAGAAGACTAAAGCGGTGCAGGAGCTGGAAATAGCGATTTCTTTGACTGCGTCATGGTCAGTACCATCCTGTTCTGGAAGCGTCCCCTGGTTCAGGGCTCTGGACAGGCCGGGAGGGACCGTGGAGGTGAGAGGCAGGGCTGCTGCTGCTCCCAGGGCCAGACGGCACCGGGCAGCTGCCAACCTTCTCGCCACTCTTTCTCCCTCCCCTCCTGGGCCAGAGCGAGCCCGCGTGCCAGGTGGAGGCTGGCCTCTTGCCTCCTGCTGTGTTCTGGTCGGAAGACTGAGGTTAGAGGCGTCAGGTCACAGAGGGTGGGCCTAACAGAAGGTGCTGCTCAGGGTGGGACCAGTGTGCACACCCGCGCTGACCTTCCGGCCCCTTCTGTCTGTGTGGCAGAGTGCTCACCGGGCCCTTGGTCTCGCCGGGTGCAGCCCTGGTCAGGCCTGCCGTCAGCACATTGGCACAGCGAGGCCACACTCCAGAGGGGGCATCGCACGGGCTACGGCTGCAGAGGGGCACTTTCTCTTTCCTTCTTGGCGCGTCTTCCACCGTCAGAGAACAAGCAGGAAGGGGTGGCTCACAGTTTCCGAGGCCGAGGTCACGTATCAGCGATGGGCGGTTCTGTTTGCAAACCTGCCACATGCCCCTTCCGCTGGGAGGCTGAGCAAGCACGCAACGAGGCCTCTAGGTCTCCTCTCCCTCCTCCTCATGCCAGCACACACGTTCACGCGTGTGCTCACGTACACGTTTACACGTGTGCTCACACTCGGCCTTCCTCCCCGGAGGCCTCAGCCTGGGCACAGCCACGGACAGTCGAAGGGAGCGGGGAAAGGAAGATGGCTGTGATTCTAGCCCTTGAGACCGGAGGTGGAGGGGCGCTGAGCGGGGCGGGAAGAGGACCTGCTGCCAGGTGGGACAGGACTCTGGACACCGCCATTAACTCATGCGTCCTCGAGGTTCGCGGTTGGCAGATGCTTTCACGGGCCCCAGGGGAGGGAGCCCTAGCGGATGGCTCCGTCGGCTTGCTGCTATTGCAGCAGATGTCCACTAGATGGCAGCATAGACTTTTCTAGCACCTGGCATCCTTCCTGGGAGGGATTTGACACCCCTTGGAAGTCTTCGCTTGGTTTAGCTTTTGTGGATGCTGCTTGTCCCGGGTCAGGGGCACGTAGTACAGAGAAGACGCCGCCCTGCCGTGTCCTGACTTCTCCCACTGCTGACAAACTCATCCTGTCTCTGCCCGAGGGTCGGGTGGGGAGAAGAGTGGTCCGGGACATAGAGACACGAAGGAGAGACAGTAAGGATTTCACAAAGGAAGACTCAGTGAAGCAGAGGAAAGGAGAGGAGAAGGAACACTGTGCTCCTGTAGGGCCGAAGGTTCCGGAAACGGGACATGCTGAGAAGCAACTTTGGCGTGTTATCGAAGCACCGTTCACGGCCACTTTACGCGGGGTACTGCTCATGTATCATCAGTTTGTCAAGTGTGCAAGTTTACACCTCTGGTTGTTGGGGACGAGTGACAAAAAGCCAACTCAGACCAGCTTACACCAAAAAAGAACAAAGAACTTACAGGTTCACACACCTAAAAACTCTAGCTTGGGCCAGCCTCATGGCCTAGTGGGTAAGGGAGTTGGGTCCCAAACCCGATGCATGTGCCCATGCATCCCCCAAATCCAGACAGGATGGGCGATGGAGGAGAGGGGGTTGTGGCGTGATCACACCCACTGTGGGGTGGCTCCTCCCTCTCTCTCTCTCGCTGAGTGCACACACCTTGTGGCTATTATTATTTTTTTAATTTAACTAAAAAAAGCAAACCTGAAAAGTCCAGGGATAATTTTGGGCACGGCTGGATCCAGGTGCTGGGTGTCACCAGGAATCTCCCTAGACTGCCTTTTTTCTGTGCCATTATAATTTACAGTTTCCTCGTGATGACGAAGACAGCCCAGGAACCTTGGGTTTATGTTTGACTGGTCTGTCAGTCCCAGTGGAAACAGATGGACCCTTTCAGACCATGAAATAACACAGGATTTGTCTGGCTTGGCTCACACGCCCATCCCTGAATCAAAGGTGGCCCTGGGCAGCCCCACAGGGACTGTGAGCAGATGGGCTGGGTCCTCTGAAGGCGGCGCTGTTTGTGGAGGGGGAGGAACTCCTGGAAAGCCAGGAGCCCGCCCAGGGCGGAGCTGGGAAGGGTGGTCCAAAGCCAAGCTGCCTGACTCCAGAGCCCATGGGCTGACCTGGGGAACCACTGGCCAGGCTCCAGGCCAGGCAGAGGGGCGCTGGCACATCGTGGGCCAGGGGTTGTGGGAGGGCGCCTTTCCTTAGCTCTGTGGAAAGGGAGGTACCGCCGCGGCTGAGGGAGGTGGTCGTTGGAGCTCCCCTTGTGGGGCTGAAGGATCAACACCCGGAGGGAGAGGCAGGCACCACGAGTGCCATGGCAGAGGAGATGAAGGCGACGGGCTGGGCGGGGGCCTGAGGGACACGCAGGAGTGGGTGACAGCGGGTGTCGCCACCAGTCGTCGTGCGCTAACCAGTGTCAGTACTCTCTCCGGCTGCGGGACACTGAGGGGTACTAGGTTTCCAGGGACAGCAGTGCCCGCTCAACGTGAGGACACCGTGTTGCCCAGGGGTGCTGCCAGGTGGCAGGTCTGTGCGGAGTGACAGTGGCAGCAGAGGGCGGGGCTGGAGGCCGTGGACCTGCGGCTGGCAGGCAGGGAAGCTGAGGCTCACTGCGGAGAGGAAGGAGAAGGAGCTGCACTTTTTCTGCATTTCCAGGACTTCCGAAGAGCCGCTGCCCGTATTTCAGCCCAGGTGGGAAGGCGTTGGTGGAAGGCCCACGCCGAAGCCAGCAGGGAGGGCAGGTGGTGGCCCGTTGGGACCGGTCAGCTCTGGGAGATGGACAGTGGGCTGGGCGGTGGTGCTCTGCAGGGCAGCCACACGGGAGTGTTGGCCTGTCTGCTAACGTCACCCCGCTGTGTCCCATCCCAGCCCGGCCACCTGGCCGGCTGTTGGGGTGCCCGTGAGCGCAGTGGGACCAGTGGAAGGGGAGCGAGGACTGCCAGCATCTCTAACTTCCTGTTCTGGATTTCCACATCCTCCCTGCCACCCTGGGCGAGGAAGAGGGTAGGAACCGCCTCCGTGAGGAGAAGACGGAGCTGCCCCAGGGCACGCCGGCCACAGCTGGGGAGAGGAAGAACCCGTCCCCACTGGCAGGGTCCTGCCCTCTAGGCCACCGCTCTGCCATCCGCATGACCCCACCCCTCACATGCATCCTGATTGCTGGGAACAGCAGGACTGGAGGCGACATTCAGCCACCCACACACAGGGGCAGACCATGATGGAGCGCCAGGCCCTGCCCCTGCCCCTGCCGCTCTGTAGACAAAGCAGCCCCGCCTTGTCCGTGATGCGCTCCCGTGACGCTGGGACATTAACGGTCGTGATTACGCTCCCACGAGCACTCAATATTTGAGGGGAAGCTGCAAAGGACGAACCTCACGGTCGGTCAGTAGTATTTAGGTGACCAACAAACGGCCTAGTCTAAGGCACCTTCGTTAGGGAGCTTCCTAATTCCCCATTGCCAGAGGGCACATGCGCTCACCAAAGAGGGACAGGGTGAGGGGGAGAGAGCACGGGTGTGTGTGTGTGTGTGTGTGGTGGCCACACCACAGTCCCTTCTCTGTTTCCTCATCCTGTCGGGATCTGGGGCATGTGCACACCCCTAGTGTGATTTTCAAGCCTCCAGGGCCACTACTTGAACTACAGTTGGCCACGTGGGATCCTGCTCCCATAGCAACTAGGCTACGGAGGCCGGCTCTGACACCCCCCTCCCCACTTTTTTAAACATTAATTCACGGCGGATCAGCAGATGCCATAATGGCTACGCTGCTGGACTCCCACATGGCTGACCATGATTCGAGTACCAGATCTGGTGGCTTGAAACTCATGCCAGGTGCATGCATCCCCAAAATCCCTAGAGGAGAAGGGACTACAGCCGGGCCATCCCCCTTGTGGGGTGATTTCTTGCTTTCTGTTTCTCTTTGTCTCTCTGTCTCTCCAGCAAGCGCATGTGCTCTATAGCAAAAATTCTCTCTCAAAAAAAAAGTTATTTTACAAGCCAGCAGGTAGCATAGTGGTTAAGGTGCTGGACTCTCACATGGTTGTCTGCCGTTTGAGTCCCAGACCTGGAGGCTTGAAAATCACACCAGGCATGTGTGCATGCATGCCCAAAATTCCTAGAGGAGCATGGAAGAGAAGGGATTGTGATGTGGCCATCTTACGGGGGGCAGGGGGTGATTTCTCACTTTCTCTCTCTGTCTCTCTGGAAGCACACAGGTCCTCTAGCAAAAATCTCTAAGATAAATAAAAGTTCATTCACTATTGTTTTCCATGAGCGAGAGACAGAAAGCCACCCCCTACAGGGTCCTCACCCCACGATCCACCCCAGTCCTAGCCTGCCCAGATCCCAGGC